TTCTTGTTCTTTCTATTCATCTCCATTGATCTTTCCTGTAAGGCCTAACCTAAAAAAAATAGACTTATAACTACCAATTATCTACGTTATGATTACAATATAGGTTAAGATTACTCATGAAAAATTATAAAAGTGGCAGTTAAAATAGGATGTTGGATGTGGTTGCACATTCGTTAATATCTTGCATTTCTTGCAACAGAAGGAAGCAGAAGTTCATTTTCTTTCACTTACTCCCTCCCTGTCTTCTGCTGCTCCCCCCGCACCCCCCTCCACTGGTGAATGCCCAACTTTTGCAGATGTCTTGTGGGTTTTCAAAACACAAGAGTAAAGGTATCCAAGAAGTAGAGGTCGCTACTTATAAGGGGCAAATAAAATGGGTGCTTGAAAAAAGTCAAATCAAAACCCACCTTCCTGACCATATACTCTCAGATCCTCTGTAAAAATAAACGCAAGTCATTCGGAGAGCTGAATTCATTCTGTAACTTTGGTCTGGGCTTAATATAAGACATGGTTCCATTCCATCGGTTGGCTGTGTTTTTCCTTACTTCACTTCTTATTGTTTCCACTTCTATCTAGATCATTTGTAGCCAGAAAGAACCCTTGCAACAGCGACTCCCCGAAATAAATAGAATTTATGGCGATTCTCTGTCTCTCAAGGACAGGAAAAAGATCTATCACATGGCCTGCGGCTATAATACGGATAATCACTATCACAGTCCCTCCCCAGGGAACTGGGAAATCTGGGAAAGCACCAGCATTGGCCTGGGCTGAGCTGTCCTGACAGATGCGGTTGGTGTTTACCAGTTATTTGTTGACTGAATGAGTGAGTAATGTGTGGATGATGGCACAGAAAGGCCGTGGTGGTCGCTTCTAAACCAAAGTTTTGAGGAAGTTTGGGGAAGCAGACACCGTAAGGAGATGCAACTGTCTGGCAGCAAGTTGTGAGCAACTTAATGGAGATGTGAAACAAGAAGCAGAATGGTTATGAAAAAGAGTCAGAGAAATTAGGCAACCCCTGAAATTGCCTGTCTCTGATGGTTTCTGAATTCATCGCCTCAAACAGCATCTCCTTCCAGCTCTCTCTGGGTGAGGCTCAGGGGACAGGGTGGTGCCGAAGAAGGCAGAGTGAACAGTGCATTTCCAGTACTAGTTCACACCACAGGAGTCCTTGCAATGAGGTCTTCTTTTCCAACAGGCCGTGAGGTGAAGAGCCCACCCGCAAAAATATATTTTGTAAGGCAGTGCCACCTATCCTGTAGACACCTGCTGTATCAGTTAGGTCATTTATTTATCTATTTTAGTTGCAAAGGAGAGACTCCTCTGCTCAGGAGCAGGGGTATATTGCAAGCATCCCCAACAAAGTGGTAAGAGTCAGCTTATATCAATTCTCTACACAATCACTGGGGTTTATTACCGGGGCTGCAAACTCAGTGATTACAGGAACCAGGCAGAAAACTCGCGTGCCAGACATTTTTTTTTTCTATTTTTTGTAGACGGGGTTCTTGTTCTTGCTCAGGCTGGTCTCGAACACCTGGCCTCAAGCAATCCTCCCACCTCGGCCTCCCTAAGCAGAAGGATTACAGGTGTGAGCCGCCATGCCTGGCCCATTTTAGCTACTTTAAGTTCAAATAGCCATTAAGTGGTTGGTGGCTACTGTTAAGAGGATTGTTTGAGGCAGGAGTCTGAGGATGCACTGAGCTATGATGACACCCCTGCACTCCAGCCTGGGTGACGGAGTGAGACCCTGTCTCAAATAATCAATAAAAAAATAAATAAATAAGGGGCATCCGATCTAGCGTGGGAGGTTTAGCAAAGAGACATTTGAGCTGACAACCAGAAAATGATTAGCATCAACAATAGATAACCGAGAAGGCCCAATTCTGGCATTCGGCTACTGTCTCATTATTAAATGTATATTGCCTGCTGCGTGCCAGCATCTCGGCACACCCCACCCTGCGTCCCATGCCTCCACGGCACACCAACCAGGTCAGCGGGCCACCGCCGCGCCCGGCTTCCGGGGCGGGACCGGAAGCGCCCCCCACGAGGAGCTGAGCGGCGGCGCGCCCGTCCAGTGGGGAGCGCCCGAGGCGGGGCGGTCTCGCGAGAAGGGCGGCGGCGGCGGGGGCTTCTGGGAGAGCGGAGCGGGCGAGCGGGCGGCGCGCATGGAGGGCGCGGGGGGCGGCGCGGGCGAGCGGGCGCCGCTGCTGGGCGCGCGGCGGGCGGCGGCGGCGGCGGCAGCAGCGGCGTCGGCATTCGCGGGCCGGCGCGCGGCGTGCGGGGCCGTGCTGCTGACGGAGCTGCTGGAGCGCGCGGCGTTCTACGGCGTCACGTCCAACCTGGTGCTGTTCCTGAACGGCCCGCCGTTCGGCTGGGAGGGCGCGCAGGCCAGCCAGGCGCTGCTGCTCTTCATGGGCCTCACCTACCTGGGCTCGCCGTTCGGCGGCTGGCTGGCGGACGCGCGGCTCGGCCGGGCGCGCGCCATCCTGCTCAGCCTGGCGCTCTACCTGCTGGGCATGCTGGCCTTCCCGCTGCTGGCCGCGCCCGCCTCGCGCGCCGCGCTCTGCGGGGCCCTGCGCCCGGCGCGCCTGCTCAACTGCTCGGCGCCCTACCCCAACGGCAGCGCCGCCTGCCCGGACGCCGCCGCCCGCCGCTGCGCGCCCGCCACCTTCGCGGGGCTGGCGCTCGTGGGCCTGGGCGTGGCCACCGTCAAGGCCAACATCACGCCCTTCGGCGCCGACCAGGTGAGCCGTGCGCACCTGCCCTTGCCCCCCGCCCGGGCTCGGGACGGGAGCGGGAGGGAGCCCCCTGGCCCGGGGGAGCCTCTTCCTAGTGCGGGGAGCAAGCCCGCGAGCAGGTGTGGCAGGTGCAGGGAAGCGATTGCAAGTCACCGCCTGTCTATGGAGGTGCCCTAGGAGTGGAGGCGTGAAGGATAGAGGAGGTAGCAGGTGTTGGAGGAGCTTTCGGGATTGGGGATCTGCAAGTGTAAAGGCCCTGGGGCTAGGAAGCTAAGGGATGAGAGGGTCCCTATGGCTGTAGGTTTATAAAAAAGCGGGAAAGCACTCTGTTCCGTCTTTGTTGTGTTAAAGGAGTTTTGGGATGGTAGGAAAGGTCTGGTGAAAATGAGTTTGAATTAAGTTAGCATCAGGCTGCACCTCTGTCACTCTAAACCGCCAAGATCTTAGGGAGGGGACTGGAAATGATCACCAAGTGTTACATGCAGATTAGGCAGCCTTAAGAGCAATGGCAAACTGGAATCATTGCGGAAAATGTTAAAAAGTGAGAGGAGAGGTGATCGGATGAGGCTGGGCCACGCGAGGTGTGTAAAAGAGTCTGAGGTCTGTTTCGAATGCAGCAGGAAGCCATCATGGTGTTTGAGAGAGGAGTGGTGGGATCGTGTTTCCTGCAGAGCAGGCATCTGACAACCATGGCGGGAGTTCCAAGCCAGGTCTACTTGTTTTTTGAGGAGCCACAGCTAAGAGTGTTTCTTCCCTTTTGAAATGGTTGGAAACAAATAGAATATTTTGTGATAAGTGAAAACTTTATGAAATTCACATTTTAGTCTCCATAAATCTTTATTGGAGCACAGTCCCACCCATTCCTGCTACATAGCTGCTTTCACCAGCAGCAGGATTTAGTTGTGACAGAGACCAAATGTCTCATAAAACTCAGAGTGTTAATACCAGCCCCTTCACGGAAGAACCTGTGGATGTCTGTTGTCGAGGACGGGATGTATGGGAAGCAACTCCAGGCAGGAGTCTTACCACTGGCCCCGTGGGAGAGGCTATGGGGGCAGTGGGCGTGGGGGAGTGGAGGGAGGTAGGTAAGTTACGGAAGTAGAGTGGGTGGGTCGTGCTGGTGGATCGTCTCAGCCTGCTTGTGTTGCTGTAAAGGAACACCTGAGGCTGGTAATTTATGAGGAATAGAGGTCTTTTGGGCTCACAGTTCTGTAGGCCGTATGAGAAGCATGGCGCCAGCCTAGGCTCCTGGTGAGGGCCTCGGGCTGCTTCCACTCCTGGCGGAAGGCGAAAGGGAGCTGGCCGTGCAGAGGTCACGAGGCGAGAGAGGAAGTGAGAGAGAGAGAGTGGGAAGGTGCCAGACTCCTAACAACCATGTCCTGTGGGAACTAACGCAGGAGAGCTCGCAGGAGAGCTCATTCATTACCTTGAGGAGGGCACCACGCCGTTCCTGAGGGATCCGCCCCACGGCCCATGCACCTCACCTTAGGCCCCTTCTCCAACGGTGGGGATCAGTTTCGAAGATGAGATTTGGAGGGGATCACACAAACCAAGCTGCGGCGTGGATTGTATGTGAGCCATAGGAAAGGTGACTCCTAGGCTTTCGCACTAAATAACTGAGTGCCTGTCTCTACCCAGCATTTACCGAGTGCTTACTAAGCACCAGGTGCTGTGCTAAGTACGGTACTTTATTAGGCCACATGACACTTCTGCTGTTACAGTGTCCATTTTACAGATGAGGGAACCGAGGCTTGAGAGGTTAAATTATTTGCTAAAAGTTACACAGGTAGGCAACTTTTCTGCAAGAAAAGTGGTCTGATCTCTTCAAATGTAACACTGTCATGGAAAAGGGGACCGTTCTGGATGGAAGGGTACTGGAGAGACTTGGCAGCCGGATACAATGTGTCTCCCTCTAACTGGATCCCATTCTTTTTGGATACTTGGCATAATTTTTAGACCACATGATAGCTAACAACCTATCGATCTTGCTTTTCTTGGGTGTATAATGTTATTGTGGTCACGTAGGCAAATGTCCTTATTTTTAGGAGATTCGTAATGAAACATGGGGGAGAAATATGTTGCTGCGACTTATTTGCAAACAGTTCAGCCTGAAGTCCTTTATATATACAGAGAAAAGAGTGCTAGGAGTCTAAGTGTAGGTATAGAAGTGTACATTTCACGATTCCTTCCACTTTTCTATAAATTCGAAAATTTTTTTAAATGAAACGTTAGGGGAATATCCATCAACTGATGAATGGATAAATGAAATGTATTATATCCATACAATGGATATTATTTAGCCATAAAAATAGGTTAAGTACTGATGAACCCCGAAAACATGCTGCGAGGAGGAAGCCAGACACAGAGGTCTCCCTTGCGTGACTCTGCTGTGTGGAACGTCCAGAAGGGAGGAATTCGTGGGGACTGGAGGTATTAATAGACCAGAGGTTGCCAGGGGCGGGGGAGTGGCCGTTAGAGGGGACAGGGTTCCCTGGCAGTGGGATGAGAATGGTGTGGACGTAGATAGGCGTGGTGGTCGTACAAGGCTGAGTGAACTGGATACCACTGGGTTGTTCACTTCTACAGGGTGAATTTGATGTGTGAGTTACATCTCAATGAACATTAGGAGGAGAAATTAGCACCCTTTGTGCCAGGCTGCCTGCTGTGCCAGGTGTCGGATGGTCTTTGAGGGGGTTTCAAAGGCCCTGCTCCCCAGGGTGCTGTCTGTTTCATGGGGGCCTGGCTTGGGACCCAAGGTCTGCAGGGGTGCGGCTTGCTCTCCTGCTCCCAGCACGGGTTGGTTCGTCCCAGTCTGGCCCTTCTCACTTGGAGGAAATCTGTTTGTGGTTTTAAGGCACTTTTTATGCTTCTCTGTCACGCCCCTCTTTACCTTGACACAGGGCCTCCAGGAGACACTGGGCTGGGTGGCTGTGAGGAGGCGGCTTTGGCAGGCTTTGAAAGAGGCGTGAGCTGGAGTCCAGGGTGACATACTTTGATGTGAATTGTGTCAGTCTCACTTTTCCCCCAGCGCTGAACCCTTTTCAAAGGTCACAATCATTCCTGATGAGTGAATTATTTGAAATAATGACCTTAAAGAAGAAAAACTTGGTTTGCAGATGAAGAGAGCAAGTGATACATTTTTTCTAGAGGAAAAAGAATGACACTTTTGTGCTTTTAAGGAATTTTTCCATGTCAGCCAGCTGTTTGACTCGCTGTGCACAATTCTGTTCTTTTAGCTTTACTTTGAATTGATTTTGGTGGTACCTTTTGACCAGTCCACGTGAAGGACTTGTTTACCCCTGGTGGGCATGTGACTGATGGGAAGCCAAGGCCGTGCTTGTCACCAGGGTGGGGAGCATGTGATGTGCCCATAATAGCAGCCAGCTTCCCCTTTGTTTCAGAAATGGCTGGTGTGTGGTTACTTAGGGCTTAGTGGTAGTCTTTGGTTTATAAAGTAATTTGGTGGATTCCCCTTGGAAGTTGAAATAAATTGACCACCAGGTTTACTCAGGATATGAGGATGAATGGAATTTTAAGGTTAGGATTTTGCTAGAGTAGTACAATGCTGATATTTTCATGCTTCATGTGAAGAGGATATGTGTCTGAGAATGTGGGAAGACGTGTGCAGTGCTCCTGTGGGTGAGGGAAGGGCCCCAGCTAATTGCAGCTAATACATAAATCACGTCTCCATTAAGTTTAGTATTGTGTTTGCTGGCCTCTTCCTTCTGAGGTTGTCAAAACGATCATATTCTTTGCTTGTTTGATTACTTTTTTTGCTTGTTTGATACTACGTTTGTGCTTATGTTTTCTCTGTAACCATTTCTCTGCTCACATTTTTTTCTTTCTGGTCTGTGTCCAGTATAGCATGAATATCGATGCCCACTGTTTAGCAAAATTTAAGTGCATCGTGCCACAGTGAAGAACTGTTTCTGTCCTAGATGTGTAAGAAATTCTCAGTCCAAACTGTTTATTCAATAGTGTTAGGTACATTTGGTCTAGGACCTCTGTTCATTGCTGATGTGGGTAGGAGAACAGTTTAAATGATGGAGAATGTGTGTTTTTTTTTTTTAAAAACTCACATTTTCAGTTTGAGCTGGTGGTTACTATATAATTAATTTCAAGCATATTACTTGCCAACACGGTAGCTATGCTTAATCTTTTGGACTTAAATTTTTTGTTTTTTGAGGAGCACACAATTTTGATTGTATATTTTACACTTCTACTTTAATCTCAAAAAGTAGAGCTTAAATTACCATATCAAGTAATATGACTGCTAAAAAGATGCTTATTCTTATTGCATGTAAGTGCAACAAGTTTGTTTTAGCCCCATTTAAAACTTGTTATTTGGTAGAGGAGATTGCTCTGTGCATCAAAAACCAGATCTGCTAGTGGAACAGGCATTTTCCAACCCTTTTGTAACCTGTTACTTAAGGACAAGACAGTAGAAGTTTTCAAGACCGCAAGGCTGGACGGTCATTGTATGAGATCCAGCGTCAGCCTTTAGCTAGTAAGTTTGTTTAAAAATTTTATGAAGTGAAACCCATGAGAAATGTCTCTGGCTAGCACAGGGCTCATTCTTGCGGTGTCTGCAGAGATGTGGAAATGCGGGTGGGAGAGAAGGCTTACGGCGTGTTTGCCGCCGGATCAACTGTCACCGATCTCGCGGTCTCCATTGACGTCGTCTTGGGCAGGGCATAAACCAAGACATTGCGTGAGTCCCCTTAGTGCCTTGTCTGAGTCCAGGAAGTCAGTGATTTTTGAGCCTATAAGGGGTTCCTGCCCTTACCCAAACTTCTCCTATGTTGATAGTCCTTCTAATGTAGAAATATTAATAGCCTGTGATTTTTGTCTTTAGTCTGTATTTTCTTCTTTACTTTATCAAGATCTCTGATTCTCAGGAGACCAGACACAATAGGTGTGGTGCCCTGGCCTCTTTGGACAAACAGGAACTGCAGCGTCCCTCTGTGGGGTGTACGCATATTTGCTGGGTGCCACACGGCACTGGCGTTTTGTTCAGTGAGGCATAGAGCTGCGTAACAGCGCTTCTGAAACTTGCCCGTGCACGGAAGTTTAAAATGCAGATTCCTGGGCCGCAACCCCAGAGACGATGGTTCAGTACATGCGGTCCTGTGAATCTCTGGTTTTGAGGAGTGTGCCAGGTAATTGCAAGCAGGTGGCTCTGATACTTTGAAAAATTTTAAAGCAGGTGGCCCACAAACTCTGAAAAACTCCCTAGGATTTGTTGGGATTTAGCATGTAATTAAGAGAAACCCACTCAGCATCTGTAGTCGTTAAAAGTGTAGGCTATGTTTTTGTCAGGAGACCCTTGAGTGTATCTGTAAACACCATTTTGATTCTGCTACATTTCTTAAAGGTTGTGATGACAGCAGTAATTTTAATCGCTGCATCGTATGATTTTTTCATCCTTGAAGATTATCACAGGTTTTCAAGTGTTTTTCCTCCCTGTTATTTTAGGTTAAAGATCGAGGTCCAGAAGCCACTAGGAGATTTTTTAATTGGTTTTACTGGAGCATTAATTTGGGAGCGATCCTTTCGTTAGGAGGCATTGCCTACATTCAGCAGAACGTGAGCTTTGTCACTGGGTACGCGATCCCTACTGTCTGCGTCGGCCTTGCCTTCGTGGTCTTCCTCGGCGGCCAGAGCGTTTTCATCACCAAGCCCCCCGACGGCAGCGCCTTCACCGACATGTTCAAGATACTGACATATTCCTGCTGCTCCCAGAAGCGAAGGGCAGAACGCCGGAGTAGTGGGTAAGTACTGAATTCTCACCACTTGCTCAGTTTGAGATGACTTACAGATCAGTTTAATTAAAATACTAGCTTGTGTTTGTTGTACGCTTACTGTGTGCGGGGCCCTGGGCTAAGTGGTCTCCATGTCTTGTCTCCTTTAACCTTGGATTCGCTCGAGGAGGCGGTGGCCGTGCTGTTATTGTTCTGTCTTAAGCACAGGCCAGGGGACTGATTCCGGAGCTCGTGTTTTAGCCCCCACGTTGAACTTCCTCTCACTAAGGTGGAAGCTCCTGGCTGTTCAGTGGCAGATTATAAAGGTAGAAATTTATAGAGGGCATAGACAGGACAGAACACATTTCTTTTTATTTTAAAAAGCTTTGAAATACACGTGAAAGAAAAAGTAGGCAATTGCTTGTGCTGTCAGCACCTGTCTGTACTCTTCAGAAAGTGAGCTGCGTCTGGAGTGGAGGTCAGCAGGCCAAGTCAGCAGCCGCTTCGTCCCTGTGGGACAGAGAGATGCAGTGGCAGAATGTGAGACGCACTCGGGGTGAGCACTTCATCTTTGATTTCCTGGGACTTACCTCGCTGGAAGTCCCACGAGCTGGGGTTTTAAAACAGGAAGTCCTGTGTCCTCAGAACCCTTCCACATCACTGGCAAACTGTGACTGGTGCTTGGTCCTGTTAGATGTAGGTCATTAAAGAAAAGTCCAGACCTTAGCCCAGGAAGAGATCTCGGAAAGTTTTGTGTTGTTTATTGAGGTGTGATTTACATGAAGTAAAATCTACCCCTTTCAGCTGTCCAGTCCTGTGAATTATGGCAAAGGTATTTAAATCATGTAACCAGCAGTGCGGTCAAGGTATAGCGTGTTTCCGTCACCCAGAGAGGTCCCTGGGACCTTTTGTGGTCAGTCCCCTCATGGGATGGTTCGATCCACTGAGGAGTGTCTGGCAGTCGCTGGGGGGTGGGCACTGATTGCTCAGCCATCGCAGCTCCTGCCTCTCGGGTCGTGCCCCTGCCGCATGGTGCCGCCTGCTGGGTGTGTCGCACACCTGCCACGCTGCGACTTATTTATGTACTTGGAGCAGCGACAAGCTGATGGCTAATGTTCCTTCCACGTGATAGATTCGAAGCTGCACCAAAATAGCTCTTACAGGCCTGCTTTTTTGCTCCAGGCTGAGTGTCTGATTTCTTCAGCTGTCCCTGTGTGGAGTTCTGGCCCATCTGACCACCCCGGGTGACCTGCTGGAGATGCTGGTGGGTCATGGTGGCGTTTCAGACGTGTAATCAGAACTACAAGCGGTGGGGCCATACTCAAGAATTTGTTAAAATTAACGTAGCAGCAGGCACTAGTCTTTGCCAGAACCTTATTTTGATTAGACACGAGCAGTGATTCAGATCCTAGATGTTTATTCTATAGATTAAATAACCGTTAGTAAAATATAGCCTTTTTCAGGAGCAACCCTTAATGTTTCAGTGTGGCTGTCTGGGTGGTACCTGATAGACGTTTCTGCAAGAGAACAGCATTGATATGTTGATATTTGGGGGGTTTAATGCACAAATAGCGGCATGAACAGGGTTTGGAGTTACTTTTACTTAGGAAACTTACTTCTCGTTACGTTTGTTTTTGGAAGTTGTCTTGGGCAAAAACAAGAAAAAGAAGGACTAGTTTGCAGAAAAGTTGATGAGCTAAGGAGTTCTCAAACTCTGCTTTTCATATGAACTGGCTGTCACCGTGGGCAGGTAGTGACCTCACCAAGCCCACCTTTCCGTGTCGTGTGGTGGAGATGGACCCACAGGGTTGTCGTGAGGCCTGAGTAAGGTGATGCGGCACAGGCCCCGGCACTGCCGGCACAGGTCAGGGCCGGCTCAGCGAGGCCACTCTGATGATGCCTGCGGGAAGGTGCAGGTGGCTGCAGGAGCCTGAGGAAGCGCAGTGTGACCCGGCGCTGTCGAGATTGTGGCACTCGGCGTCCTGGCCCAGGCTCAGCCTTCAGTCTAGGTTGATCT